GCCGGTCATCGTACATGGAGTGACTGCGGCTGCGGTAGTGCCGGTCAACTTGGTTGGCGCCGCTGTCGGCGCGATACGTTCCGCGGTCGTCGCGGTAGGACCCGCGGTCGTCGCGATAAGTCCCGCGGTCGTCGCGATAAGTCCCGCGGTCGTCGCGGTAGGACTCGCGGTCGTCGCGATAAGGTACGCGGTCGTCGCGATAAGTCCCGCGGTCGTCGCGGTAGGACTCGCGGTCGTCGCGGTAGGACTCGCGGTCGTCGCGGTAGGACTCGCGGTCGTCGCGATAAGGTACGCGGTCGTCGCGATAAGTCCCGCGGTCGTCGCGGTAGGACTCGCGGTCGTCGCGATAAGGTACGCGGTCGTCGCGATAAGGTACGCGGTCGTCGCGGTAATACCCGCAGTCGTCGCGATAGTGCCCGCGGTCTTCGCGGTCGTCGCGATACCGGTCGCCTGAGCGACTGCGATAGCGGGAGGCCGACTGACGAAACGGGCTACGGCTGCGTTGATCGTCGCGGTAATCGCCGTGATTGAAACTGGCGTAGCCGGAATGGCCACCTTTTCCCATGCTGGCGTAGCCTGGACGGCCACCGGGAGCGTAACCTGGTGGATCGCCTGATGCGTGACCGGGTGGGCCACTGGAAGCGTAGCCTTGACGAATGATGTTGAGGAAGGGTGTCCCGGTTCCTCCACCACGCCGGCCGCTATTGCCGTGGCGTTTGCCACCGCGGTGGCCGCTGGGTCCGCCTTGAGTTCGTCGACCGCCACCACTTGGGGGTAGTTCGCAAGGTAGGATGGCAGCCCATCCTGGTGGGAACACAAAGTCTTGACGCACCGCGTTCTCGTGGAACGCTGGGGAAAGCTTCGTACAGGTGTACGTCGAGTGGCTGCCTGAGGACAGGCAGTAGCCACACCAATCCGCCATGGTGTCTTGGCCTTGGGCACCCCAGGGTGCGGCGGCTGCTTGTCCGTAGCCGTCCCGCTGGCTCACGCCATCGCGAAAGGCCGGAAGGGCCAATGCGCTAGATCGCGTTGTCGCGGTCGCGGGTGCTGAGCCATGGACCGGTACAGCGAGGGCTGTCGGTGCGGGCCCGAGGATCAACGGATACTTGAGTGTCAAGTCCGGCCAGTGCTGCTCTAGCAGGCGGCGCATATCCTGGTATGGGATACTCGGTTTCGGGCCGCGCCACATGTAGTAATCCTGCATGATGCACGAAGGCAGCGCCGCCAAGAGCGCTTAAGCGAGGTGGCTGTCGCTGAGGGGATGCACTTCCAGCTTTTCCACCGCTGTGCGCAGCTTGTAGAATGCCTGGAGATTCGCATCCAGTGACACGTGAGGTCGGAACTTGAACGCGTGGAGGCGTTGATACACGGAGATCGCCGTGACGTGCTTCTGCTCCTCGCTGCAGTACTTGCCGCGGAGCTTCGAAATGATGCAGTGTGCACATTTTTCGAGGTTAGCGGCGGCGATGTCGCACCGCACCGTGTCCGAGAGGGATGCCTGCACTAGTGCGCACGCGCGACTGACCGCTGCACTTTCGGCCTAGAGCTTGGACTCGATGTCCCCTCGGATCGCCTGCACGAGCACCTCGTTCGTGGAGCGGTTGATCGAGAGCCACTCAGTTAACGCGTCCCCACGACCTTGTGGGTGTCCAGCGTAAGGGGAGGTGGGGGGGGGTGCCAGGTTGGACCTTAGCCACTGCATCGAGATGATGGCGGATGCGCCTGACGTCGCTGTTAAGGACGCGGAAGGCTCGGATGAGTCCCTTCATGGACCACACTGCCTCGACCTCGGTGCATTGCGTGGCCATGGAGTCCAACGCTTCACCAGGGAGGATCATCGACGTGAGTTCGAGGAACCAGTCGTCGTAGTTTTCGGCTCCAACGAGGTGGTGGGTGATGGGCAGGGCCGCTCGAGAGGAGGAAGTCGGTGGAAGGCTCATAACCAGTTGGATGGGCAGATAGCAGCAGCAGGCAGATGAGTAGTTGAGGGGAGAACCGGAAGTGAATTAATTCTGACGGCAGAGGAGAAACTGGCTCTAGATGTGCCAGTTCCTCCAACAGCCAATCAAATCTTAGATTATGATTGGCCACGACATCCTGTGATGTTTCGTGACGAATCTGCGCTGTCTTCTACTCTGAGGAAAAGCCTCTAGAAGGCACAAAAACCTCCTACACAGCTAGCAGACGCTGCTACCTGACTGACAGACCAGTCGGGATGTTCTCTAGAAGAACAGGGTGTTCTGACTGTTATAAAGACAGTTTTACACAGTTGTACAAGTGGGTTATACCTACAAAATCACACGCAAAACACACATCGCGGATTATAAAGGGACCAAATTTAGAGGTGCGGTGGAGATGCTCTAACCCGACCATTGATGTACCGATTGTCCATTGGTGTGCCCCGACTTATTCATCCAATCAAACACTAAATCGATTTTCATTGGACAAAATGCAACCTCTAGACAAATGATACCTTATAAATTCATGCTATGTACGCAAACATTTGTGTTTAAAAGTACTTGTATACATGATACCTGTTCGATTTGTATAAACCTTTATAAAATGGTAATCGTATGTTGTTGAAAGAGGTTGAAACTTTCGTTTTCAATACACAACTCAAGTATAAAATTCGGCACATCAATGGTCGCCCTGTGTACTTCAAAAATTACGAGTAATTGTGCAATCCTAAACTGTTTAAATCGATATACTTTGGGCTCATTCGAAAGAGCTCAACGTTCTCCATCCAAAAATGTACTAAGCTTACTACGTAGTAGTATGTATCAAGGGAGGATTTCGAAAAAACAACTGAAATATTCGAAAATGAAAATGAAGAAAAATCGGCACATCAATGGTCGGCCACGTTAGTACGTAGTATAACTTTAGGTCGTGTTCGGACCAAGAATCCGGTTATTTCGTGAATTCAGACTATGGAATTCGATTTTTTGTGCAATTGTCAAAAATAAATACTGGAATCTTGTAGAAGAATCCGGATTCTGGAAACCATCGATTTTGATTGTTTCTTAGAGGGTTTGCTTCATATTCTACTTTACAGCACTCGGAGAATAGTGCCAAAATAGCAACCATAAAAACGAAGTTTGACTTTACTGTTCACCTATGCTTTACATAGCAATAGGTTTGAATTTACCATTGGAGATGCTCTACAACACCCCGAACAGCCCTAAGAGCATCTCTAAATTTGGTCCCTTTATAATCCACGATGTGTGTTTTGCGTGTGATTTTGTAAGTAAACCCACTTCTACAACTGTGTAAAACCTTGCCTTTTTAGCCGGAAAAAAGCCTTCAAATTTGGGCAAAACTTTCCACGGCAGTGTGTTTTACAGTACTTTTTGAACTGCAAACAAACTTCATGTAACGTTACCCAACCCGTAAGGTTAGACAATCGATCGACCAGTCAAAATCCAGGACATTATTCACAGTGGCCAATCAAATCTCCCGCTTCAACCATCCACGTCAATTAATATTCGTGTCTTGTATATTCGTTTGAAACAGCAGCAGCACCACAGACATATCCACCTTCCACACCTTTGAGCACAACATGATGTATGTATGTATGCATACATCCTCTACTGGTTAACTTGTGGCGCTGGGGATGCTGCGGAACGGATAAAGGAGGCGGACCGTGAGCTGGGCGATCTGGTCCTTGGTCATTAGGAGCAATGCGCTTTTCACCACAGTGTTAACCAGTTGGGCGTTGCAGCCTTGGAATAGCCCCGCCACCCCGCCGTCTTCATTCCACGTCCGCTGGAGTACTTGAAACATGGATAAAGATGCTGTGTCGTGGTTATTCGTCTTGGAAGCCTGCATTAGCACCTTGGCTCGGATGATGGGGTACGTCAGGATAGTCGCGATGGCCTTGGCTATCGCCGCCAGCACGAACGCTTCCACGGCCGACAACTGCCGACCCAGTTGCAGCTTGAGCCGGTCGAAGATCGTGTAGAAGATAGCAGGGTTGGACACTAGCACCAGCGACGGCACGTAGCCCTTCCACAGCGACAGAACGCCTTGCTCGCGGTACATGCGTCCAAGCAGCTCTGCCGCCGAAGACGACGACGAGGACGTCGTCGTTTGGATGCGCGTGGTGAGCACCTCGAGCGGGAGCGTGATCGTCATATTGATCGCCCCCGCGGCGGCACCGATCGCCAACGTGGCCGACGTCGTCAATGGTCCGCGGGATTTGGCATACGCTGCTTTCAACCACGCGTACCAGTAAAAGTAGAAAAAGTTGGACAGGACCTAAGACAAGACGAGATTGTATGTCATGCAGAGATAGATATGGAGGTCGTCGTACGGTGTGGGTAGCCTTGGGGCCGAGACCAGAGAAGAGTCCTCGTGCACCCTCCTCGGTCCAGATCGACCGGAGCAGCGCCATGGTGCTTCGTTCTTTCGTCTTCGTTGTCGAGTCCGTCGACGCTTGATGCTTTGTCTTGGCCACGTCCAATGGAAACAGCACGAGGCAAGCGAAGAGCGCCCCCAACGACCCAGACTACGATGCATGATGACGACGACGGGAAGAGGACCACAAGAGCGTATGCATGCATGCATGCCGTACCGACGCTTCCACCAACGCCTTGTTCATTTTCTTCCTACAGTACCGACCTCAAGTTGTGATGGCAACGGTTCGTTTTGATTGGCTACTGAAATGGCTTCTATTGTTGATTGGCTGATTTAGCCCTAACGCCAGCAAAATGGCAAGCCCATCGAAGGGCCATCATCGCTCGAGCTTGGCAAGGCACGTCGCGGAGTCCGGTGCGGCGGACGCTGTAGAGCCCGTGCATGTGGCGGATGACAAGCTGGATATGTCGCTGTATACAGTAAGATGGGAGAAACCGATCGTCCTGGCCAACTCACGGATTAGCCGGTCGCATTTGGTTGATTAGACCTGGCAAGACGGCTCGCAGTAGGTATACTAGTATATGAGCGGGTGTATGACACCTGAACATCCGCACGTTTCTGTCATCCGTGGCTCTCCGTCGAAGCATATGTACCACACCATCGTTGCGCACTGCGCTATGGAGGGCACCTTACGTGCTAATTACAAGGGGATCTATCGCGTCTGTGGACGAGGAATTTTACCATTACATCCTTCACGCATGATGTTGTAGTAGTATACTGCTAAGGTATGAGGTGGTTTCGGGGAAGGTCTCTGTGGCGGCCACTATATGGAGGGCGTCGTAGAGGGCTTCGCAACGATCATTCAAATGTGCGCAATGTGAAGGCCCGAACCAATAGCCAGACAATCAAGGGCGACGTGATTGGCCAAGGGGCGACGCTGTGGAGATGGCAGTTAAGTGATCAGTGGGGTAGTAGTAAGCCGTGTATGTTATTAGGTACGAGCGGTCTAGCCGCAGAAGGGGGCAGAGGACCCAAATTTGTATCAAATCCGTGGGTTTCATTTGAATGAGCCAACTTCATACTGGTTGCTTTCTTTCTAGAGCCACAGCAATGTCATCGACCCATTCACGTGTCGACGCGGGTTGTTTGTTGCGTGCAGTGCATTCCACAGACGTGGGTGGCAGGATGTCTGTCGCTGCCTGTTGGCGTGTTGTGGATTGAAGCAAACCATGTCTTTCTAGAGAACTAACTTCACCGGGGGGATAATCTGACTGCGACGCTCGCGGTGCTGTATGTCGCCCCGGCATGCCTGCCTCCAACACTTACCGGTAGTCGAAACCACGGAATGAGGTTCCTGCGATCGTGGGCATCTGATGGCACTGCCTGATATCCTCCTCAGCTGGCACCTCACGACCCAAAGCGCTGCATAGTTCGGACGATGAAGGACGACCAAACCACTCGGTCAAGACATGCACCAGTCGATTTACATGTTAACGTACTGTACTGTACATATTCGAGTCCAAGCACCATGTACGTACGACCAGAAACCGCCGAAAATGGAAATCCAACTACTAACAACCTGCTATCTCCCATTCACGGACATATCGGCCCTGTAACTTTGTCGAAGACGAGTTGGGGTGCGATGACGTGGCTTCCCCATGAACAAGTCGTTATATCGTCGACATCTTCGTCGTCGTCGTCGTGTCCCCTTCATGTGATGATGAGACTGCTCAGGAGTAGCGATCATGAAATATGTGGACGCAACAAGTGATTGATTGGGGAGCGTCGCCGACAACAACGCAATCAATCTCGACGATCCAATACGTGGGCCATAACTGGTGTGTCCATGGCATGGACATACTAGTTACAGCATGGACTCCATGCTCTTACATAGCCCACCACCAGAGGCGCAGCACGCCGCCAGTGCCGCCACTTTGCCAGGTTTCTACCTAACGTAGAGTTCTAATTTCGGGCATCCCCACTGGTGCGACTGTATAATCAGACTGTAAAATACTGTTTTACAGTTCCTGTATTTTGATTTTCGTCAACACAGCGGTTAAACTGTAAAACGTCCGAATATTTTTTTAATCCGGAAATGAACGTCTCTATTGGGGCAAAGTACAGTAACGTTAGTAGTAAATCCGAGCATGCTCGCTATCTCGTGGTAGGTTTGGCTGGCGGTTGGCAGTAGAGCCTTTAGAGCGCGCAGAAGACTGATGAAAGCCAAGAATCTCCCAAGCTTGATCCATGTCATCATCGTCCTCCCACGCCATCGTGCCTTCGCACAAACGTGCACGCCAGGAGTTTCGCCGTCGTTTTCGAATGGCCAGACCGCTGTTTGAGCGAATCATGGATGGTGTGGTGATGCGTGATGAGTACTACCCTTGGACGCATCTTGAGAGATGTTGATCCATGACCGGACAAGCTGGCAGTCTTCGTCGGTCGTGAAGTTGGAGCCACGGACGGCCTTGGCTGATTCCATTTCTGAACCTACTGATTGTTGACTCCATAACGCACATGATTGGACAAAATTATCCATTGATAGCATGTTATTGGCTAATTCGTAAAATCTCTATTTTACAGTCGCGACTGTAAATGTGGCCGATTTGCCGTCTCACGGTAAAATTTACAGTTTCCTGTATTTTACAGTCGCCCGGTGGGGCTATCAAAACTGTAAATAATCCGGATAGAACTGTATAATAGCGATTACAGTCACACCGGTGGGGATGCTCTTAAGAGACATATTTTGGAGTCGCTGCCGGGAAATGAAAGCAGCTCGGCACTGACAGTGTGAAGAATGGGTTTCGACTTCTGAAAACTGATAATCCAATAGGACACACAGGACTTTCCAGGTAGCACTGAAACATCGATTTTCACAGTATCGATCATGTCCTATTGTCTCATTTTCCAAACAAAACACCTCAAAAGTAGGCGACAATTTACGGGTGATAATTTAAGCTGGATCGTAGTATTGATCCATGCATACATTTTTGTATAATATTATGTTAGGTACTACGTAGTATATATTCAACCTCAACGGGTTATGTATTTATAGAGCCAATTGTTCAATTGATTAATTGATTTATATTTAAAAATATAAATCAATTAATGTGTTTTAAAAAACACATGGGATCAATGTGGGTATTAATTCTAAGAAGGTATTGCTACACAAATTTCGAGGTGGGTGATTGGCTGAATCCGATGTCCCTTTTAAATTGGAACTCTACGTTATTACATGCGCCCATCGTGACGTCAACGCTACATACCTCGGCCAACTCACCATTCGTTCTCCCAACGGTGCCAGCTACCTGTTGCGTACTACTAGTAGTAGACAGACGGCAAGGCGACCCTGCATGAACTCCTCGAAACCATGTACATGTAGTGGCGTCGTGCAAAACTTGTACACCGACCTCGTGGCTTAAACAACACTTCACGTTTTTTCGAGCTATGTAATGGAGAACTTGAAAGATAGAGCTAAAATACATTTCTGTTGGCTCGGGGGGTTGAGCTGAATCGGACCAGGGGGAGATTCAGGGGCATGTATTTGTGGACAGCTATTATAGAGACAAAAGTGCCGACAGATGATCGATTTATCAAGGCCAGCAGATCATGTGAGTCACAGGAAGAAGCCACGCAGTCATGTTTGACCTTACACGTCAAGTGAGGAAGCTCCACAATCAGGAGAACGACTGGCCACTGTCCGCTTATGGAAACAACTCGATTGGAACTTCATATCGAATTCCATACATGTGTCGTCAGTCCATGGTGTCGACATCGCTACAGTACACTGTACTACAGTACTAGAATCAGGTCGTGCCAACGTGCAATTTAGTACATTCACGCCTCCAGTGGCTTTCGCAAATCCATTAGCACAACCTCCGCAGCATCCCAACCCACCGGACGAACATCAGGATGCTGCCGTGCTCCATTCACTGAAATCATAAAGACACTACTACACCATTTCATGACACTAATCTCGTGGTGAGATTATCCCGCAATCTCTTCGGATCTTGAGCTACGACCATGCGTTCATCATCTCCACTACTGAAAACAAGTTTAATCCGTGGACGACCACGGTTTTCGTATACAAGTACCTAAAATCAATATAAAATGGTTGCAAGTGATTGTCTAGTACCTTGATTAAAGTATAACATATATATCATCCTTCCTAGATCAATCTCTACCCATTATTGTCGTTGCAAGCATATGCTTTAACAACCCTACTCATTTTCAAATTCCCACGGCGAGAATGGCACCGCCGATGCCGTCGAGCCAGCTACCGTTGCCCCTTCCCACCAACTTTTTCCACACCAAGGCTCTGGATGCACGGTCCCAGCAGTCCCTGCTCCACACAGCCCAGTCGTGCGGGGCCCACCTCCTCCGTAACGCGCACGCAATGGACGACCACCTCGTGTACGCGATGCACACGGACCCGGCGTCCCATCGCCGCATGAAGATGGTTCTCGGCAAAGACACGTTGGATCTGTCTCTCACGTGTATGATCGGCCACACGCAGTTCCATGCGTCGCTCGAGGACGTGGCGGCGTTCTTTCGAAGCGACTCGCTCGGCTGCGCCGCCAACGACGGGCTCGAGCTCGACTCGCGCCATCTGTACACACTGGCCGCGCCAACGAAAGACGACCCGTTGCGATACACTGGCGTGCACTGGACAGCGTACAAGATGCCGCCGCCATCGACCTCCCCTCGCGACTACTGCTACCTCGAGGTACAGTATAGCCAGCCATCATCATGATTCACAACCATTTTTACCATGTGGTGACGTAGGGCCACAGCGAGTTCACAGACCCCAAGACATCCCGTCGCGGGTGGTTCCGCGTGCTTCAGTCCGTCGACGTCGCTGCGTGTCCGTCGTTGCTGGCGCCGTGCGGCATCCTCCGGTCCCACTGGTTCCGGTCGGGGCATGTGTTCATGGAAAGTGGGCGCCATGGCTTGTTGGACTGTTATGCGGTACTCGCAGTAGCTCCTGGCGACCACAACCAGCACCACGGCATGAGTTTCATGCGCAAATGGATCACCCAGGTCATGGCCGTCCCCAATGCGTTCCTCACCCGGCGGCTCGCGACGGCGCCGCTCCTTCCCGACGACGCGCTACGACCCAAGGACTCGGTCAAGATGTGCATGGTGTGCACCAGTCGGTTCAACCTGTTCAACTCCAAGCACCACTGCCGTCTATGCGGTCAAGTTGTGTGCGGCAACTGCCACCTTTCGTGGAAAGTGCGCAACACCAAGGTTCGCATGTGCGTGCAGTGCACCGATCGTGGCGGGGTAACTTCGTTTCGAGACTCGTGCTCGATGACATGGACCAGCAGCTTGGACGACCCGCGCCGCCGCGGTGGTCCTTCTTCTAACCAACACTCGAGCCTGAACCAACGCGAGAGTTTTGCGTCGTCGGCGGACGCGACGGCTACGTCCAGCTGCTCGGACGATCAGCACCTAGTTCTGGGTGACCTAGACTGCCTCGGCAGCTTCACAGTCGAAGGAGCCAAACAACTCAACTACGACCACTTGTTTGACTTTTCTGTGCTATTGCACACACACCCGTTGAACGACACGACCACCACCAACCAAGTGAATGCCGCCGCCGCCCACCCCCCTTTTCGCCTCAAACCAACCGCGCTTTACCCATCCAATGTGGCTACAGCTACGGCTACAACGGCGGCGGCTACAATGACGGCAGCGGCTACACTTTTCTACCCATCCGATAGGTCTACGGCTACTAGGGGGGCTACAGCTACGGCTACAACGACGGCGGCGGCTACACTTTTCTACCCATCCGATGGGGCTACAGCTACAAGGGTTGCTACAACTTCGGCTGCAACTGAGGGTATAGCTACGAGGATGGCTACGGCTACACCTGCCACGAATGTCAAGCCCACTACCACACTGTACGACGCGACCATGCTGCAGCCATTATCGGTAGCCAAAAAATGCGACACTGTGAAAGCAGCCCCGACACTGGACATGGCGACGTACTCGGAATCTGTCGTCAACGTTCAGGCGTTGCTCCACTCAAAGCGCACAGACGGGTGTAGTACTAGTAGTACTAGTACTAGTTCTACTCCTTGTGCGCCACCCACCACCCACAGCGCGACATTGTTGCACGAACTGCTGGAACAAATGTACGACGGCAAGAGCGCGATCGTCCAAGGACTGTACAGAGACCTTGTAGCGCAGACTAGTAGTACCACCACCCCATCATAGTAATGAATTACTAGTAAAGGCAACCACTATTACAGTAATAGATTAAATTAACACGACTCTTGGCGTAACTAATATAAGTTACAGTGTCTTACATGTTGAAGCTGGCGTCCGGCTCCGCTTTACATGTACTATAGATAGTACACGTGGGTATCATTTCTAGTCTTTACTTACACTTCGGGTATCCACAACGTTAGTATAACGTAATAAACCAGTTTACATGTTACCAGTAACACTTATCACTGTAAGGTAAACTTTTTTGGAGGAGTCCAAATTCAACGGTCAACAATCATCACTTTTCCTAATCACTTTTCAATGTGTCTCGTGTTCTCGTCGGACTAGAACTCATTGTCGAGCCCACGAACACGTAGACTGAGGAGAATTGCACATAACTTTTGAGTCCGTTACGATATACACATTTGAGTTCTGAGTAGTCAAGACGCACCGCTTTCTCTTCATAATCAAATTATAAGTTTACACGATTCTTCACAGAAAAAATTGTCACTTTCGAAGCATTTGTACTCACAATTTGATACAGTATTAGTAGCCAATTTAGGATAACTATTTTTATCTTTAAGTATGTATGTGTACAAGCATTGAAATTCTGTTTAGGGTAAGCGGTTACAACAGGTTTAATATAATTTACACAAGGTTATGGGTTTGCAGAGTATATAATCTTCTGGTGTGGAAATATAGTTCTACAAGCGTACTTCATGCCTAATCTTGAACGACTATTATCAACCGTTTCTAGATAATTGGCATTTCATCAATGTGACGGAAGGGTTGACATTATATGACAGAGGTTTTGACTCTTCAACAAATAACGAGGTGTGATAGGGCAATTCAAAGTTATTCAAAGTTATCCAAAGTTATCTTAAACTGGTTTTTTACGTTCGCGATATGGACACATGGGAAAATATCAACTAGTACACCATTTTACCTGATCAAGTTAGACTTTTTTCCTATCAATGTGGTTCATTGTGACATTAGTATTAAATACAGAAAATAAATGATTGCTGGCGAAAAATAATTCCATTACTGTCCAATGGACCTTAGCACCCAATGTCTGTCTATTTAAATACTTATTTTTGTATTCGGAGTTTCTAAAAGTTCAGTACGATTTTAACCCCCCTCTCGCTGCAATAATACTCAATTTTTAAACCACTGTCAATTGGTAAAAAAAAAAAAAATCCCCTTTGTCCAACCAAAGTCAATTGGTAAAAAAATAAAAATAAATTTTCCCCTTTGTCCAACTGCTCGGACCATTATGTATGGTACCGTAACCACTACCTACTCTATCCTTCATTCGTGCAATACAGTATCATCTCTATCTGGGGGCAAATTCAGCCCCGACATGCCTGGGTACCAGTGCGAGTACGCTAGAAGGGCCTTCGCCACATATGCCAGCCGCTTTTCCAGCGTCAGATGGGGCAGTTGGTCCCGATTGAGTGGCTGTGGGCCATCGGTTGCATCTTCGCCAGGTACAAACTGACTGCGCTTGGCGGTCTGCCGTCGAAACGTAGCTCCCATCGACATGCGGGGCTCGATACTGCTGCACGTGGTTTCACAGGCGCTGCCCCAGTGCACGAGGCTAGGAATCCAAGTGGCCACGTGTCCCGCACTACAGTAGTAGTATGTACATACAAATTACCAAGTAGATTTGAAATTGGAGTGTTTGGGTTCTCAATCGAATAAGCAGCACCACCAAATCGCCAGACAATCGATGATCGGCCAATCAAAACCCAGAAAACGAATCAAGTGGCCAATCAAACTCACTCTTGGACCAAGTCAACGCCGAATTACCATGTGTGACTGAAATTAGTGTGATACTCCACGATCTTTACACGTCAGGACAAACAATCGATCGATAGATTTGGCGAATATCAGCACAAAAGTCCAAAATATTGGGTAAAAGGACAAAATATCATAGCAGCAAAGTAACGACTGGGCAAACTACCTAACTTACGGGACGATTAGGGGCACAGCACTGGGCGAGTGGACGGACCGGCGGTGCTGGGGATGGTGCGGCGCGTAGAAGAAGTCGTCGGCATCGATCGGCACGACATGCATGCAGCCGTTGTCGGCGGTGGCGCCGTGGCGGTTGAGGGGAAGCCAGCACGTGAGGCTCGTGAACTGCTCGTCGGCGTCGTGGCACTGGTCAAAGCCTAGATCTCGATGCGCGGCGCCAAAGTTGACCCCAATGTATGGGTTGGAAGCAGTGGTTTGGGAGACGGGACGGTGGAGATGCCAGCAGTTGAGGTCGGCTTCGAGAACGCATCCTGGCCCCAATAACGGTTCGTACACGGCGCCCCAGACCGCATCCAGATACGCCCATGCTTCATCAAACACAAAGATGAACGCTGGCGGGTACCCCGCGGCATGCAGCGCATGGACACCAGCTTCCAACGCCGCGAGGGAGTAAGTGGTGTGGTTTGCTTGGGCGAACGGATCCAACACCGTGTACCCTTGCTCGGAGAGGACGACGGATGTTCCTGTAGCGTCGTCCGTCGAAAACTTAGAGCTGGACGATGTGATGGAGAAGGCAGAGTTTGCAAGAGGCGAGGACGTGACGTGCAACGACGAGCCGCCGACCAACGCGGTCCAATGGGTCGGGTCGTGCAGCACCGAGGTCGGATGGGGTGGGTCTTCGAAGAAGAGTTTCTCCAACACGAACAGCTGCGAGATCGCATGTCTCGCCATCTCGGCAGGCATCGGTACCCCCATGGCCGCTGCATACGCATCCAATTGCCGCTGCAGGTTGGTGGTCATAATACTTTGAAGTAACGTTACTCAAAGTCGGAAAGTGCCGCCTTTTCCGTAAAATGATGATATGTATCCGGATTTTGGTGAAAAGTAATCAATCTTCCGAACGATTCGCGTTATATCCAATCAGACTTTAATTTGGCGTAAACATCATCATGACAGTATTTTTATACTTGGAGTTCAAGTGAAAACCCAACCAATTATAATCCCGCCAATAACAAACTGTAAAATAATACAGTACTACTATTAATAGTACACCTTTTTGCGGTTAATTTCAGCTTTTTTCCACTATATTTCGCTTAGCTTGCAGTATGTTTCACGAGACCACCGATATATTTCGGTTATCTCCATTTAATTTCGTGGCTACCTCAAACTTCGGGTTTCTATTTCACCAAGCCAGCAGTATAATGCAACCAACTATCGTTTAATTTCAGTTTTTGTCAATATATTTCACCCAGCATCCGATATATTTCGCTAAAAAAACCAATCATACAGGACACGTACCGGTGGTATATCTACATGTATCTATCTACCTATGCCCTAGGTGACGCTTGCGACTTTTCAGCATGTTGGACTCCATGGTCATGAGTACACAATGACGACAAGTGACAACTTGGCTTGCCGCCACCGAAGCATGTCTCTACTCGTTTGATCAATGACTTTACGTTATGTAAGTCCCCCCCACCTAAGGTGGCGAAAATCCTGCGGTGGTTCCGCATGGTACTCAAACATTCAAACCAGTAACTCATCAGGTACACTCACCTTCTTATCTTCACAACAGGTAACTACTACTACGTAGTATATAATTAGGCTGCACTTTGTGGACGCATGCGCTCAGTGCAAACATATTTCAAAATGTAATTATTATCAATTTAAACGTGTCAAATTGACGCGTTTAATTGCAATGGTCGTAGCGGGTCAATCGACGACTAAGGCGATGGGTCTTCGATTAGCCCGTCAAAGCGTGGAATGTGGTCATCCAAGTGCCCAGCACAGTGCTGCTCACGCAATTTCTTCAAGCACGCGCCGCCTGCCTTAGCTTTGGTTCCTTTTTTTCAAATATAATCCCAACTTCACCTCTGCTGACTTCCTAGCTTGAGCACTTCGTCACGGTATCCATCCTTGTGCTCCTCTAGGCTGTATCCACCTTCGATGAAAAGCCGTATGAAGTCAACAAGCAGCTTCATGTCTGAGCGGCGTTGACGGTTGCCGTCGTTGCCTTGGTTCCATGGACGTGGGACCGGCGTAAACCACTCAAACCACACGTGGATGGCATAATCGCTTCGCCTCTGCTCCTCTTCGCCGGAACCACATCCGGCTCAGGTACATCGGCATCGAGCTTTGCACCCTTCGCGAGAAGCGTTGTTCCAACTGACTTTCCTGCAGTGATAGCAGAAGCAACCAACGTTGTCTCGATATCTTGGATCCGGTCAATCAGGCGCTTGTTTTGCTCGGCGAGGGTTTGTATCATGTCAGTCTGCTGCTTAGCAAAACTGCTCATGGTAGACATCGATGCCGCTTCACTTGCTTGAACCTTGCGATTGCGAAGCAGTAGTTCCCACGCGGTGAAGGCTTCGATGTCAACTCCAACTTTCTTGGCCACCGTTGTGATTCTTGTGACAAGTGGTGCCGACGCACACAACGCCTTTAGCATAGGGTAGGACCGTGTAAGGTACACCATAAGCAGAGTGACGACTTCGTTGTTGATGTTGTACTTGTTGTCTTGCATGCCAATGCAAGACGCAAAAAGTACCGCTTGCATCCGTGCAAGCATTTTCTTCGTTGCAGCATCGAAAATCTCGAGCGACGGAGCCACCACGGTCGCCCCAGCCGGCCAACCACTCTAAACGCGGGCAACCTTCTGTTATTCGTTGCAGGTATTGAAAACGTAAGCAAACGCCTTGTTTGTTGCTGTCATGTTCCAGCTGCCGTGGTTAAAGATCCATTGCGACGACAACTCCGACGATCCCTTGGCAAACTGGGCTCCTCCTCGGCGAAAGGAATGGGATATCAAACCAGCTAAGACTCCAGTCGGTTGGCAGATGCGGTTCAGCAGGCGGTTGATGTGACTGTGGACTCCGGGCAGAGCTCCAACTGACACCTTCATTGTAGCAACTGCATCCATGGGCTGCACCCCGACGACCGCTCCGATTGGTCGGTTGAGCAAGTCCATTAAGGGGATCGACGACATCAATTTGGGACAGAGTAGTACTCGACGTGTAAATGCTATTACTCGGAACAATTTTTCACCAATCGAAAATCTGAACCGAAACTTCTGCTAGGCTTGTCCAGTTCTATCGTATTTTCCTAAAAAATATCAATACTAACTATAAGTTGGAATAGCTGTCGAAAGACAAGGCATTATTTTGTAGTCTTTAGATGACTAGCACCATATGCTCTTAGTAAAGATGCAGGGAAAATGCCATAACGATACCAGCAAAATGAAGTTTTGCGTATTATATGTAGTGGTGTAGCCAAGGCAGTAAGTTCTTTAGCATGTGGTATATTAAGGATATTTTGCAATGAATGATGTCTGAGCGGAACGAGATATCATTCTTTTTGCTATGAATGATATCTCGTTCCGCTCAGACGAAAAAACCTCATGATTAAATTCCGAAACGACAAAACCTGTCTACTATTGATAAATATTTCCGCAACATGGCTAGTCTGTCCTTCAAAAAACCTCTAGCAATGCATCAACATGTATAACTTTCAAAGCGCTTGGTGTCGTGCTCGACACTCATGTTTGTGATTGTCGAGCACGATACCAAGAGGCGATCATGACGTGGTACTTGGTCGGGTATGCGAGGCGGCGCAGCTGAATACGCAAGGCCTCCATACCATGACAATGGTCTCGGTTTGGCGTGACCACAACGCCTGGTAACCGGAGCAGCACCGCTAATGATCGGACACCGGCGACGTCAAAACGAAAGTACTCGGTCGAGTCCGCGTCAATTAACGTGTCCAGGCGAAAACGAACGTCGGGGATAACGGGACGTTCAACCCGACTTCTCAACAGCTTCCACAGTAGTATGAACAACAGTCGACGCTGCTGTTGACATGGGTTCGTTTTAAGCAGCCTCCGCACGACTGACACCACCAGCGCTGTCTCATTCATTCCGACGTGTGCCCATGCTGATCTAATATCCGGATAATTTATTCGTATATTTGATGGAAATATGCTGTTGCGAAATCATAAAATATCTGTCGTTGTCGCTGCCGTTGTCGCTGCGTGAGCTGAACGCGAACAAATAACCGACAATTTCGCAATCTTCTTATTGTCGATTTTCTTCAAATTCCCCAATTTTGCATGGTTCGTTCAATCGAGCACAACAGCCGAGACAACTGATTGGCCAATATCCACCACCACTTCGCCCTTTTAAGTAGAAACTCGAAAATGGATTGTAGCCAATCAGCGACAAGTAATTTGGGATTGACAAATGAGAGATATTGGTGCTCGATACGCTCGATTGAACAGGGTCCAGAAATTCATACCGAATCTCCAATACTACTTTACACCATTTTTCACTGTCATTTAAGTTCAAGTTCTTTCTGGTATATTTCGCGCGACACACAACTGATTCACGCCATGAGCGTTATGTTCGCCATGCATTCGATATATTTCGTCCAGACCCTACATCGTTGCAATATATTTCGTCTTATATCCGGTATATGTCTCCCCACAACCGGTATATTTCACACGTTGTTCAATATATTTCAAATGATTTTCCATCTACACCTTTTTTCGGTTAATTTGAGGACCTCGCCATACTTTTTCGCGAAATGGACAAGCAATTCGCGGCGGTTCCACTTCATTCGTTGTATATTCGTTATATTTCGCCTGCAACCAAGAAGATTGCAATATATTTCAAGCGATGTTCCTTATGTGTCACTCACTGTGTATGCGCTCAATTCAGCGAGTGGTTCAATATATTTCGGGGTGCAATCCATATATTTCGAGCGAAAATAGGAAGGAATCACTTCAAACCGAAGATCTCGCGGGCTATCACTCATTCTTCGAAACGATGACGGACGATGGAACAAGCCCCTCCCGCAGCGCTTGCCACACCAGTACGTTCCAACACATACCCTATGTACCTAGTTGACCTGTTCATAACCACGCCGCCGTGGCAAGTACTGTTGAATTGATGGGATGCGACTTGCGACTTGGGTGAAGGCGGCTTGCGTTAGCGAGCGACTTACGAACAAGATAGGAAATCGGAAAGTGATTAAGGAGTGGTAAACTAATGAACTACTTCAACACATATATCCTCTTGTTCTCTTCTGCCTACGCACTTGAAGGTGACCTAGTGCCAATGCCCTTGATGGTCGCTGCATCTTCGTCTCTGGTGCAATGATGTAAGTGTGCAATGCTGTTCTGGTGATAAACATTGTCATCCAGGGTTCAAGTTGCGGAATCTGGATGATTCCGCTGCCATCAACATACCGAACTTCAACACCCCCTAACCCTGATGACTGATCACTCCATCATCGATAGGCTGCGCTGTCATTGGCCCATTCTCTTGGGCTGACTGGCCTGTCATTGGCACATTTTCTTGGGGATGCTGGCCTGTCATTGGTCCATTCTCTTGGGGTTGGGGGTTTGCCGTCAGGCAGTTTGCCATTGACCATTTTCGAAATTGCTCGCATGCGAACTTCGTCGCAACTTTGGTCAAGGCGTCGGCTCGCATCTCTGTCGTGGGGACGAACTTGAGAGCCAATGCGCCGGCTTGAACGAGCTCGTGAAGGTAATGATGTCTTACGTCGATGTGTTTGGTGCGCTCACTGATCGCTGTAGACTTGACGTGGCGATGGCGGACATATTGTCGCAGTGTAAGGTGAGCGTGTCGGCTACGACGCCTAGGTCAACCATGAGGCCGCGCAACCACGACGATTCGCGGGCCGCTTCGGCCGCCGCGATGTATTCCGCTTCGCAGCTGAATAGCGCTGTGATGCGCTGGCGGACGCTCTTCCACATGAGGAGACCGCCGAGGAATGACCACAAGAAGCCTGTGGTGGATCGGCGATCGGGGCGCGTAGCCCAGCTTGCGTCGCAGTATCCGCCCAAGGCTACCCTGTGCCGAATTGGATGCCCCATGTCTTGGTTCCTGACAGGTATCGTAGGACACGCTTGGCGCCGAGCAGGTGCGGCGTGCGCGGGGCATGGAGGTGACAAGACAGACGTTGGACGGCGTGGGCAATGTCGGGACGTGTGCACACCATCAGGTAAACAAGAGATCCGATCATTGCTCGGTACTCTCCTTGGTCTACACTTGGCTGACTTTCGTCGTGCCATAGGTCTTCTTGGTCGGCCAGCTCTGGGGTGGCGACGGGGTGGCAGTTGGCCATGCCGAATCGATCAAGAACTTTGGCGGCATACGCGTCTTGGGACATGGTGATTGTTGCTTCGTCCATATTGCGGCTGATTCTGATGCCGAGTAGGTAGTGGACGGAACCTTGGCGCTTGAGTTCGATCTTGGCGGCCAAGGTGGTCATGATCTTGTCCATATTTTCTTGGGTCGGGGCGGCGACTATGAAGTCGTCGACATACGTGCCGAGGATTTCCAGGTCGTTGCCCTGGCCGCGGGTGAAAACGCATGGGTCGTGGGCGCTTTGAGCCCAGCCGAGTGACGCAATCTGCTTCTTGCAGTGCTTTTCGAACTCGTGGCCGCTCTGGTTCAGTCCGTAGAGCACCATGGTGACCAAGGCGGCCTTGCCGCGTTGGGTCACGTGTCCTTCAGGTTCGACCGCCCATATTGGTCGTCCTAACGTTGCTTGGATGTAGGCGTTCACTGCGTCGGCCTGTTCGATTACCATACGGCGGGATGTGGCGACGGCGCAGATCGCGCGGATGACGTCATCTTGATGACGTTGGAGGAGGACTCGTCGTAGTCCACTCCTGCGATCTGCGAGAAGCCTTTCAAGACCCAGCGCGCCTTCCAGCGGATGACGTTTCCTTCGGCGTCGGTCTTGCGGGCGTAAGTCCATCGGCCTTGGATGACTTTACGTCCGGGTGGTGGTGCTTGGACGGTCCAACACTTGAGCGCTAGAAGCTGCGTTACTTCGGCTTCTTCGGCCGCTTTCCATTGGCGCCAGTCCGGTGAAGCCATCGCCTCTCGGTGGCTGTTGGGGACCGGACGGACTTGGACGGCTGCGCAGGCGTACTCGACGCCGTCGACGCGGTAAGTCACTGTATTTTCTCCCATGAACGAGTCGTAATCATATTGGTAGCCTTCCAGATCTGCGTCCAGGGCCACTTCGGCCAGCGCCATCGAGGCATAGCGAGGGTTTGGCTTAGGTACGCGCTTGGGCAAGGGATGCTCGCTGTCGAAGGCGAGTGGCGCGACGGATCGGGGCTTGGCGTAGCGAAAAAACGGTGATGCCGCGAGTGCTTGGCGGCGCGCTGCGTTCATCTCGTTCCGGAACTGGTCCTGGTGTTTGAGTCGGCCGGTGTCGTTGGGGCCCGAGCGCATATGGCGAACGCGTACTATGGTGTGGCGTAAGGTTGACGAGGCGACGAGGCACTGTAGTGGGAGCCAGACGGGCCGGTGGGGTGTCGTCGGACGCATCAGCTGGTAGGATGTCGTCGACCGCATTGTCCACGACACGACGAACGGTGTTAACGGCTGACTCGAAGTACGTAGGCGCCGCTTGGATGGCGCGATGGACGAGCTTGGTCGTGTGACCACCGGAGTTGAGTGTCGTGTCAGCGTCAGCATCGTCGTCGCCGTCGTCAATAGAGTCCGGAAGCGACGAGTCACCAAAGAATTCCGACTCCATGAAAGTAACATGCACTCCATGGGTCATTTTGTGTTCCTCTACATTATATAACTTGTGGGCTTTCATGCTTCCATGTAGCCCATCATGATGCACAGCGTCGCCTTGGGGGCGAGCTTGTTGCGGCGTTCGGGTTGCTTCACCAGTTTGAAGCATTTGCAGCCGAAGACCTGCATGTTGTTGAGTGTGGGTACGTGGCCGCAAAACAACTCAAGTGGTGTTTTGACGCACTTAGTTGTTTGCAGGACGCGATTGCATATGAAGGCCGCCGTGTTGACGGCTTCTGCCCACCAACGATTGGGCATGTTGGCGTGGGCGAGCATGGCCAGAGCCATTTCCATCAAGGTACGATGCGCCCGTTCGGCGACACCGTTTTGCCATTGGTTTCCTGCGGATGAGGACTCATGTTTGATTCCCATAGATTGCAACAAGTCGTCAAGCGCGCGAGACGAGTATTCGGGGCCGCCGTCCGACCGAAACACTTTGACCTTGCGGCCGGTCTGGCGTTCCGAGTACGCCAAGATCGCCTCCAAGTTCGACTGTTGGTCGGCGGCTCCAGTGGATGACACGAAGCGGACGATTTTGAAGCCGGTGTTGTCGTCGACGTATACCGTGTAGTAGCGGCAACCGCCGGCGGACATGGTAGGCAAAGGTCCTTTTGTGGCTGAGTGCCGGAACGTTCGAGTCCCTTGCTTGGCAACGGTGACGCGGTGCATCTTGGCACGTGGACAGTGCATGCATGGATACGCCATGTCACGAAGCTGTGGCGGTAGTCCAAGACCAGCCTTAGCGCAAGTGCGCAAGGCGTCGAGGGGTAAGTGCCCGATGCGGTGGTGCCCTAGTGTGGCCGTGTCGTCAACAGTAAGGTTTGCATGATCTCGGGTTAGGTCCCATCCAAGACATACAGTCGTTGATCGTGGTTCATGGTAGCACGAGCCACCGGTACATTTGAGTGCAAAATGGTACACGTGTCGTTGTGGAATTCAACCTTGACCGCCTTGTTCGCGCGCATCAAGGCAGGGATTGACATGAGGGTTGTTTCCATGCCGTCGATCAACAACACGTCTGCCAAGGTAAGTACCTTTGAGGTTGCCGTGGTGATGTTGAGTTTTCCGATGGTAGTGGCGATTGTAACTCCGCCGTTGGCGACGATGACCTGGCGGTGACAATTCCGCGTGTCGTACAGATGCGTGGCGGCGCCAGTCATGTGCGTCGAGGCGCCAGAGTCGATGATGATCCGGTGTTTGATGGCTGCGTGGGCCCCGTCACTAGCGGTGTAGACCTCGTCTGTGGCCGTGTCTGACGTGGACGTATCTCCGGATGCATCATGTTGGTTCGCGGCCATGGATGCGGCCGCCGCGGTGATCGACGGATTAGTCGATGTGGTCGTCACATCTGTCGTTGGCGAAGCAGTGGACGCCAAGTCTCGGTGGCGTTGATGGACATCGATAGACATGCGTAAGGTCCGGATAAGTTCAGGGTCGTCAAATGGCGCGAACGGTGCATCGTTGATGTACGTCTCGTATGCGTGATCGCACAACCATGGAAGGTAGGAATCGTTGATTAGCATCTCGCGGATTTGGGGGGTTCTGACGGCCCGCATGTCATAGGCCATGACGGTGTAGCGGCTGATGACCCAGCCTGGGAACACTTTGATTGTTGCCGGGCCTGGGATTGGCTTGGTCGCTAGGACTGCCAAATCGTCGCGGCTCATGAAGTTGGCCATGTATGGCACACCTTTGATGGTGACTATACGTCGGGGTCGTATCGATGGGTGCCAGGCACGGTCGACGTATTCTTCTGGCTTCTCGAATTAGACGCGATCGAACTCATCTTGGTTCGATGGTACCGCTGTAGCGGGGGTGGAGATGGGGTGAATAGCGGCGCGCCGACTTCATGACGACGCTTGACCAGCGTTTGGAAGCGATGGATGAAGTATGGTAAGGTTTCTTGGCGCATATCCCATGACAACCGCGCCCATTCCATGGCGACTTGGATCCGATGGATCTTTGTTGTAGGTCGGTGGTGGATGGCCAGGGCCTCGTACTCCGTCTTGACGTTGGCCGCGCCTTCCACGTGACGGTACTGCCCTGCCTCGATCGTCTCGATGAGAATTCCAAAAGCCTTTTGGTCGTCAAGGTCGGGCGGGTTCGTCGGGCGTACCGTGAATTGGTCAAGGATCCCTTTGGCCATGAGGCGGCCTTGGAAGTATGTATTCCAATCACAGTAATTGTGCTCGTTGAGCTTCATGGCGTTGGGTGTCGTCATGGGTCTTCCTTCTTGTTCGTTTTGCCTTGCGTAGGGGATGGGCTCAGTACCTGTTGAATTGATGGGATGCGACTTGCGACTTGGGTGAAGGCGGCTTGCGTTAGCGAGCGACTTACGAACAAGATAGGAAATCGGAAAGTGATTAAGGAGTGGTAAACTAATGAACTACTTCAACACATATATCCTCTTGTTCTCTTCTGCCTACGCACTTGAAGGTGACCTAGCGCCAATGCCCTTGATCGTCGCTGCATCTTCGTCTCTGGTGCAATGATGTAAGTGTGCAATGCTGTTCTGGTGATAAACATTGCCATCCAGGGTTCAAGTTGCGGTATCCGGATGATTCCGCTGCCATCAACATACACAAGTTCAAGACGATATCAGAGTCTGCCAAGCGTCACATTGTTGACATCTACAAAATGGATGGCGATTGAGCTGCAGTTGCAGAAGCGGATGAAGTCAAACCATCAACTGCTCGAGGTTGGCTGAACCTGGAATCAGTCACTCCGACCAGCGA